GCTTATTAAAAAAAATGAACAATGATTAAGTAGTGCAGCAGCACATATATAAAAACACAGCAACGGACAAACTGTCTCAGGAGAATTTTGGGTATAATGAAGAGTGGATTTGTGCTCGTCTCTATGACCCTCGGAGAATGAAGCCAACCGCAATATCGTATCTACCAACAACTGAAACAGCAGCTGGTATATTACTAACACTACTGAATTCCACCAAATAAATATTAGAAGGTATACATCCATAAGGTTGATGACATCACAGGGTCCCTTCATGACATTACAGAAATAAATCAGCAAACGCCATACGACGAACGCAAGGTCGTACATACCTAACTACGATTTCACTCCTGACACTGAATAGAAAAATGTTTTCAAATGCATTCAGAGATGAGCATATGCAGTGGACTGACTCGGGAAACAAGAGCATACCTACTAACAATGCTGTACCCAATTAGGCAAAAACACTCAACGTTAGTAATGTGAAAGATAATTCTACTGCGTTCAGACCTTACAATTTGGTCAGCCTGTCATTATTGGTAGCAACGGTAGGCCGAGTATACTTCGTTATCCAATGCAGTGCCTAACTGAAAAAAGGGAAAAAAATCTCAGAGCAACATATAGAGCTGACTTTCTACTAACTAAGCCAAAATTTACGCATAGACCACTATTTCATTCCTATGCATATACAAGAAATGGTATTCAGGACACACCACATATATGCACCGATTCAACCACCCTCAGCGCATTTGGGAAAAAAGCTATCCAACTACACGTACAACTGAAGCGTGATATATAACATTGATAAGCTCACGACACATCACGCAAGCACAAGCATATTATATCAACAAACGAATGATATGCTTTAAAGTGCCAATGACATGCAGCCAGAATGCCCAATACTGTATTTTCATCGACGACACTATCTCCCGTAACAAAATCACATCACCTCGACCTGAAAAGCGACAAACCCTAACTACAGATGGGGGAATTACAAATAAAAACGCGTTCCTAGATAGGCTCGAGACCGTGTGAACCTTATCACAATATACAGGAACGGAAAATCACGTAATAGCGAAGGTACTGATGATATAACCACGCTATACTGATTCGAAGCTACACCGGTTCATTACTGAGCACGCTACCCGGTGTCGACCCAAGCTGTACAGAGGTAACCAACACCTACCTAACTCGGAACATACCCATATACATACCACGAAACCTGTTAGAAACAAGACCACTGTGGAGCTGTCAAAAGTCTGGGTTTGAAAATACTTATGCAGTGTATTTGAAGTGCATGGCGAAACTGAGTTTTAATTAAATGACGTACATACGAAAAGTGAGTAGCCAAACGCTTAACAATAAATGCAGTATCCAGGATCAGACAGCGTCAACGACTTCCCACTCTTTCTCTTCAGGTTTTGCGCCATCTTCGACTTTATCATCCTGCAAAAATTAGTCAGCCTGTATCATGAATTACCTTTTCTTCCACTTTCTGCTTGTTAGCTTCTTCCTCTGTCTTGTTCTTCTCCGCATCAGCTGCAGCCTTTTCAGCCTCTCGTTTTGCTTTTTCTTTGTCGAACTGCTTGTTGATGTCAAAAAGAACACGATCCATTTGATCTCTAGCTGAACGCAGCAAGTGATTGTAAGTGTTTGCCTGACTTTTGTACTCGTGCATTAGCTTCTGCTCGGTCTTCAGGCGAGAGGTCAAATCACGATTCTCCGCCCTCAGCTCATCCTCTGTGTCTTTGAACGAGTTTACCTTGACCCGCGTTTTCTCTAGAAAAAAGTATGATGAAACGCATGCCCATACCTAGCTCATCCTTTATCTGGAAGAATTGGAATTCTAGCTTCTGTTTAATAGCCTCAGCCTGCTCCATACGTCTCAACATTTGTTCTGAATCCCCACCCCCAAGAACAATTCTTTGACAGTGTTATAAAGAAAATCGAACCTACCTTGCAGGTGTCTCTGGAACTGTCATGTCGAAAAGAGCTCGGTTACCAAGTGCAAGCATTCTTGTTACTTCTACATCTTCTTTTTCGGCTAAATCCATGGAAACAACATCCTTGTCATCACCCTCGACAATGTCACTGTCTGTCAAGCTGTGGTATGACACGTGGTCGCGGCGTGTAGCTACTCTGGCCACAAGTTTGCGCATCTGTGAATTACAAAGACACATGTGAGGGTAAGTTTGGTGAAAATGCAAAAGCAAAACTTGTTTGGAGTCAAAATCTTCCTACACAAGCCGGATGCAATACAAATACAAAGCAGTACTCCAGCTGTATGCCCTAGCCCACCTGAACGAAATTCCCATGGACTTTGCTGGCTGGGCGTCCCGCGAGGTGTCGCCCTTTGCTACACACCGTTTTGACCGCACTTCATGCATAACAATGCAACTATCAGAACTGGGATTTGACATGCATTCAAACGACTGCTGACTAGAGCAGCCACAGCGACTGAACATGAAGGCAGTGACAGTCGAGTATGACATGACGCTTACACCACTGTCACTAGTATATTATAAAGTCAACTCACCTGAGTACGAGAATATCTTAGCCCGAGGAGGTGGAGGATTTCGCACAAATCATGTTCGCGTATATACCCTGCGCGGCTCACATCAAGGTAGGTGAAGGCAAACAGGAGGGATGGGTTCACGGTGCGCCTAAGGCGACGCACCTTGACTTCCTCCTCTTCGTCGTGGCCATTTTGGCTGTCATTTCTGCGTCTTTTGGCATCAGGCTCGTCAGAATCGATGCCGTTTTCGAGCCTGCAAAATAAAAGCTTGTGTTATGTGCAGAAAAAAATAAAGGCGAAACATGAACAATAAATATCTATGCCTATCCATTCATGACGCGCCAGCTATTGGACAACGACAATCAGGAAGGCCAGATCAACTAATTAATAATTGTGACCTAAATACATCTACGTTACGTAGAATATCGTCGTACTTTCCATCCTGTTCAGGTTTAGTTTCTTTCTCAGGCGCATCGTGAATCGCCTTGAAAATTGTGAAGGCTGCATCTCGCTGGAGCATTTCATGGAACTGTTCAGCGAACAGGGATACTTCAAAGTTGTGCTCTTTTTGATCTTCGGTACGATAGTCGAGGAGAGAGAACAACGAAACACGATGACAGTCGAATCGACCCCCCTTAGCTGACTTGTTTGGATGGATAACGATGGCTGGCTTATCACCAAGACGATAGAGGCGTTCCAAACGCCGGCGTTCTTTCTCAGAGAGGTCCTTTGAATCATCCTTTGGTTGCGTCGCAGACGGCGAAGCGATCTTATTCGGAGTCTGTTCGGCTGAATACAAGCAGAAAGAAGGGCGATATGAGTTTTGTAACCATTTGTTTGGTTAATTATCACAATAAAAACATCCACAGCCGTTCTTGTGGTCCTATCAACTCTTAATTAATGCAGAAGGGAGCACAAGATATGGCAGTGCTTACCTTTAGAATCCTCATCAACCTTCATTTCTTCCGGTGCATCTGCCTTCTTCTCCTCATCCAAAGCACTCTGTAAGCGGGCCACTAGATTAACCTTTAAACCCTTAGTATCCAACTTTCTAGCTGCTAGCTCGTTTCGTAGGTCACTGACCTAAGAGAGTGTGAATGGATGAGTTACTACTTACCTTCAGACTATTTACATCGAGCTTAGAATAATGGGTCGGCTCCATATCTGATCGTGTGCCGGCCTCTTCAGACTCCTCCATACTGGCATCCATAGCACTTGTTTCGCCGTCTTGCTGTTCAACCACCCCGTCCTGCTCAGCCTTCTCATCAGTCAACAGCTTCTGAAGCGCAGAATTGTAGTACTCTTTAGTCTTAGCCCATTCTTCTTCTGAAGGAATTAGGTGGGCCGCATTCGGAATAAAGAATACTACGACCTCAGGACGCTCCGAAGTTATTTCTCTTTCTTCCTCAGCTTCCGTGAAAGCTGGAGCTTTCGTATCAGGCATGCGATAGTACTTGATCTCCATAAATCTGACCCTATAAAGTAAGTGTGAATAGGTAATTCAAATCAATTAACCATTCTGTGCAAGAAGACAAATCTAGTCCGGTCAAGCCTTTGAACGTCCGGATAGCTGTGTTGATAAGTGTTCTTGGATCTCCCTGAGGATCGAGTCCATCTAGGCTTGGTGACCAGGGTCCACCAAGAGCCATAGTTTCACTCTTCGCTCGACCACCAACCAAAAAGTGTATGCTCTTATCAGGTAGAACCTTGTCAGCTCCACTGACGTCATCCGCCATACTACAAGTATTCTTGTACAACTCACCGAGTTGAGGGCATGCCATTAGCATGACCCTCGCTGAGTAGGAATAATCTGCATCGGGAGGGTTCAGGAGAGTGGAGTCTGGTTGAGTGGGAGAATCAACATCACGATGGAAAACCTGGCGGACATATCACAATATAAGGATGAAACTTACATGATAATCAGTCCCACTTCCCAGCTTAAAGGGATTGTGCATGGGAAACGAATCCACCCATGAGGACGTGCACTCGTAGAAGTCGGCTGATATGTTTAAACGAGGATACCGGTGTCGAAGGTCAGGCAGTGACGCCGAAGATATATTGAAAAGACTTTTTGGAATCTTCACCTCATAGCGTGCGAAGGACGATGGCCGTTTCCCGAAAGGTCTATGGTCTTTACGCTGGTTAGATGCAGGATCATGATAACGTTTCTCTGGACTACGGCCTTTTGGCTGACCACGCTTACCGCCGCGAAAATCATCTCGTCGGTCTGACCGTCTGTTGTAATTATCATCTCGATATCCACCATAGAAAGGCTTAGCGACAGGTGTAGCATTGTAGGGTCTGCGATCGTTCGGCGAAGGTCCGCCCATGTAAAATCCCACACCTACAACCCCAGAACCCATATAACCACCACCGCCACTACTGCCACCACCTGCACCACCACCATAAGGTGCTGAAAACATTTTTAAGAATTAGTATCAGCGAGGAAAAACGGAAACATAAGAAAAAGATATGAAATAATCATTACCATTACGACCCCAACGACTAGCCATGTTTGTGCCAACGGAACTGATGAATTGACACGAGGATTAAAACAAAAACTGCCAGCTGTGCTCAGTTTCAATGTTCAGTGCTTCATATGTTGATTATGACACGACCGAAAATAATTTGTCACTTCCATCTGTTTCTATATTACGAAGAGGCGTTTCGACCCACTTTCCTGACACAAAACCACGAAAGACAAGCTGCCTACGGTAGCTAGTTAACCATGAAGAACTTCATGCACTTCGTAATAGTGCATCACTGTGTGTTGTTTCTAATAAGCTTCTATGATATGGGATCAAATTCAGGGTGACTAAGTTTTACTTCTTCCTTCATAAAAATCAGGCCATCAGACACTCTGATAGATGAGGTGTTTTCCAGTCTTTTAGGTGTGGCCTAGGTGTCCTATCACAACGCATACATGGCAGTTTTTAATCCCCTCGATCCAAGTTTTCAAAACTGAAGAGGCTCTCAAATGATGCTGATGGGTACTATTTCACGGGGTAAAAGTGGATGATTCATTGGATATTGGGAAGTACAGACTCAGGAGATACCAACGACGAATATTTTTAGTGAGACTTTTGACAAATCAATAGATTAGGGCTACATCGATATTCGACGTTAGGTGATGACTTCGATGTTTTAGTGGACTCGTTATGCTGAAGACGCTCAGCCAATCGCCCTCCTCCTACCGCACTGTCACGTCACGTTCAGCTGGTTTGCGTGATCCCCAGTTAACTAAGCACGCATATCGACTTGGCGATAACAATGTCCAAATATACTTCTGGTTTCAATGGGTAGAATATCGCTCTTGTTTTGCCTTGCTTATCGTTCGTTTGCCGTCTGACATCAAAAAAGTACATATACGTTGGAGGACATCAGTCGCGTACCATAATATCCACTGAATAATCGGGCTGGACTTATCCAGCATGTTGGTTGAAATTCCGCTCGGCAAACGTCTTTTGTCAATAATTTCTGATAAATTTGTCTTGTGTGTTTTCCGGATTGATAGGAATTCTCATTTCCTGACATGTCATGTTGATGTCCACGTCATGAGGTCCACTTAGCACTCTTAGCACATTGGTTGCAATGATCAGTGTTTCAGGTGGGCTTTTTCAAAATATCGCTATATTGAGCATAATGGGACAGTTGGAGAGTAATGTCATCTACACAAATAGTTTACTTCATGTAGAAGCTGCACCTTTCGGCATAGTATCACTTAATGAATACTTCACGTTTCAGTATTTTCGTGTGAAGAACAGTACTATTTGAGATGTGAATGCTATCAGCACATGGAAATCACCTGTGAATGCTAACGGAACCTTCTGTGGGAAAAGAAGTTATCATGTAGATGTGCCTTTCACCGTGTTTGTGTTTGGACAGGAATTATCGTAAGTTGAAAGGTTATCTCTAAGTGAATTTAATATATATTTGCACTGATTGGTGCAGTGTTATATGGGTTATGTGGATTCAATGTATAAAAATATCTCAACTTTATTAGGATTGTGCCACTGTGTGCTTAGCTAACTGCTAGCTAGGCTTGTCTAACATATGTAAGTGGTTCTCATGATTGTTGCAAGTGCAGTGCATTGGAGAAGGCGATTACTTGATTAATTTTCCTCACTGTTTCATTTGGTGAATCAATTCAGTGTGTAGTATAATTATAATAATCCCCAGCACGCTACCCGGCGTCGACCCAAGCTGTACAGAGGTAACCAACACCTACCTAACTCGGAACATACCCATATACATACCACGAAACCTGTTAGAAACAAGACCACTGTGGAGCTGTCAAAAGTCTGGGTTTGAAAATACTTATGCAGTGTATTTGAAGTGCATGGCGAAACTGAGTTTTAATTAAATGACGTACATACGAAAAGTGAGTAGCCAAACGCTTAACAATAAATGCAGTATCCAGGATCAGACAGCGTCAACGACTTCCCACTCTTTCTCTTCAGGTTTTGCGCCATCTTCGACTTTATCATCCTGCAAAAATTAGTCAGCCTGTATCATGAATTACCTTTTCTTCCACTTTCTGCTTGTTAGCTTCTTCCTCTGTCTTGTTCTTCTCCGCATCAGCTGCAGCCTTTTCAGCCTCTCGTTTTGCTTTTTCTTTGTCGAACTGCTTGTTGATGTCAAAAAGAACACGATCCATTTGATCTCTAGCTGAACGCAGCAAGTGATTGTAAGTGTTTGCCTGACTTTTGTACTCGTGCATTAGCTTCTGCTCGGTCTTCAGGCGAGAGGTCAAATCACGATTCTCCGCCCTCAGCTCATCCTCTGTGTCTTTGAACGAGTTTACCTTGACCCGCGTTTTCTCTAGAAAAAAGTATGATGAAACGCATGCCCATACCTAGCTCATCCTTTATCTGGAAGAATTGGAATTCTAGCTTCTGTTTAATAGCCTCAGCCTGCTCCATACGTCTCAACATTTGTTCTGAATCCCCACCCCCAAGAACAATTCTTTGACAGTGTTATAAAGAAAATCGAACCTACCTTGCAGGTGTCTCTGGAACTGTCATGTCGAAAAGAGCTCGGTTACCAAGTGCAAGCATTCTTGTTACTTCTACATCTTCTTTTTCGGCTAAATCCATGGAAACAACATCCTTGTCATCACCCTCGACAATGTCACTGTCTGTCAAGCTGTGGTATGACACGTGGTCGCGGCGTGTAGCTACTCTGGCCACAAGTTTGCGCATCTGTGAATTACAAAGACACATGTGAGGGTAAGTTTGGTGAAAATGCAAAAGCAAAACTTGTTTGGAGTCAAAATCTTCCTACACAAGCCGGATGCAATACAAATACAAAGCAGTACTCCAGCTGTATGCCCTAGCCCACCTGAACGAAATTCCCATGGACTTTGCTGGCTGGGCGTCCCGCGAGGTGTCGCCCTTTGCTACACACCGTTTTGACCGCACTTCATGCATAACAATGCAACTATCAGAACTGGGATTTGACATGCATTCAAACGACTGCTGACTAGAGCAGCCACAGCGACTGAACATGAAGGCAGTGACAGTCGAGTATGACATGACGCTTACACCACTGTCACTAGTATATTATAAAGTCAACTCACCTGAGTACGAGAATATCTTAGCCCGAGGAGGTGGAGGATTTCGCACAAATCATGTTCGCGTATATACCCTGCGCGGCTCACATCAAGGTAGGTGAAGGCAAACAGGAGGGATGGGTTCACGGTGCGCCTAAGGCGACGCACCTTGACTTCCTCCTCTTCGTCGTGGCCATTTTGGCTGTCATTTCTGCGTCTTTTGGCATCAGGCTCGTCAGAATCGATGCCGTTTTCGAGCCTGCAAAATAAAAGCTTGTGTTATGTGCAGAAAAAAATAAAGGCGAAACATGAACAATAAATATCTATGCCTATCCATTCATGACGCGCCAGCTATTGGACAACGACAATCAGGAAGGCCAGATCAACTAATTAATAATTGTGACCTAAATACATCTACGTTACGTAGAATATCGTCGTACTTTCCATCCTGTTCAGGTTTAGTTTCTTTCTCAGGCGCATCGTGAATCGCCTTGAAAATTGTGAAGGCTGCATCTCGCTGGAGCATTTCATGGAACTGTTCAGCGAACAGGGATACTTCAAAGTTGTGCTCTTTTTGATCTTCGGTACGATAGTCGAGGAGAGAGAACAACGAAACACGATGACAGTCGAATCGACCCCCCTTAGCTGACTTGTTTGGATGGATAACGATGGCTGGCTTATCACCAAGACGATAGAGGCGTTCCAAACGCCGGCGTTCTTTCTCAGAGAGGTCCTTTGAATCATCCTTTGGTTGCGTCGCAGACGGCGAAGCGATCTTATTCGGAGTCTGTTCGGCTGAATACAAGCAGAAAGAAGGGCGATATGAGTTTTGTAACCATTTGTTTGGTTAATTATCACAATAAAAACATCCACAGCCGTTCTTGTGGTCCTATCAACTCTTAATTAATGCAGAAGGGAGCACAAGATATGGCAGTGCTTACCTTTAGAATCCTCATCAACCTTCATTTCTTCCGGTGCATCTGCCTTCTTCTCCTCATCCAAAGCACTCTGTAAGCGGGCCACTAGATTAACCTTTAAACCCTTAGTATCCAACTTTCTAGCTGCTAGCTCGTTTCGTAGGTCACTGACCTAAGAGAGTGTGAATGGATGAGTTACTACTTACCTTCAGACTATTTACATCGAGCTTAGAATAATGGGTCGGCTCCATATCTGATCGTGTGCCGGCCTCTTCAGACTCCTCCATACTGGCATCCATAGCACTTGTTTCGCCGTCTTGCTGTTCAACCACCCCGTCCTGCTCAGCCTTCTCGTCAGTCAACAGCTTCTGAAGCGCAGAATTGTAGTACTCTTTAGTCTTAGCCCATTCTTCTTCTGAAGGAATTAGGTGGGCCGCATTCGGAATAAAGAATACTACGACCTCAGGACGCTCCGAAGTTATTTCTCTTTCTTCCTCAGCTTCCGTGAAAGCTGGAGCTTTCGTATCAGGCATGCGATAGTACTTGATCTCCATAAATCTGACCCTATAAAGTAAGTGTGAATAGGTAATTCAAATCAATTAACCATTCTGTGCAAGAAGACAAATCTAGTCCGGTCAAGCCTTTGAACGTCCGGATAGCTGTGTTGATAAGTGTTCTTGGATCTCCCTGAGGATCGAGTCCATCTAGGCTTGGTGACCAGGGTCCACCAAGAGCCATAGTTTCACTCTTCGCTCGACCACCAACCAAAAAGTGTATGCTCTTATCAGGTAGAACCTTGTCAGCTCCACTGACGTCATCCGCCATACTACAAGTATTCTTGTACAACTCACCGAGTTGAGGGCATGCCATTAGCATGACCCTCGCTGAGTAGGAATAATCTGCATCGGGAGGGTTCAGGAGAGTGGAGTCTGGTTGAGTGGGAGAATCAACATCACGATGGAAAACCTGGCGGACATATCACAATATAAGGATGAAACTTACATGATAATCAGTCCCACTTCCCAGCTTAAAGGGATTGTGCATGGGAAACGAATCCACCCATGAGGACGTGCACTCGTAGAAGTCGGCTGATATGTTTAAACGAGGATACCGGTGTCGAAGGTCAGGCAGTGACGCCGAAGATATATTGAAAAGACTTTTTGGAATCTTCACCTCATAGCGTGCGAAGGACGATGGCCGTTTCCCGAAAGGTCTATGGTCTTTACGCTGGTTAGATGCAGGATCATGATAACGTTTCTCTGGACTACGGCCTTTTGGCTGACCACGCTTACCGCCGCGAAAATCATCTCGTCGGTCTGACCGTCTGTTGTAATTATCATCTCGATATCCACCATAGAAAGGCTTAGCGACAGGTGTAGCATTGTAGGGTCTGCGATCGTTCGGCGAAGGTCCGCCCATGTAAAATCCCACACCTACAACCCCAGAACCCATATAACCACCACCGCCACTACTGCCACCACCTGCACCACCACCATAAGGTGCTGAAAACATTTTTAAGAATTAGTATCAGCGAGGAAAAACGGAAACATAAGAAAAAGATATGAAATAATCATTACCATTACGACCCCAACGACTAGCCATGTTTGTGCCAACGGAACTGATGAATTGACACGAGGATTAAAACAAAAACTGCCAGCTGTGCTCAGTTTCAATGTTCAGTGCTTCATATGTTGATTATGACACGACCGAAAATAATTTGTCACTTCCATCTGTTTCTATATTACGAAGAGGCGTTTCGACCCACTTTCCTGACACAAAACCACGAAAGACAAGCTGCCTACGGTAGCTAGTTAACCATGAAGAACTTCATGCACTTCGTAATAGTGCATCACTGTGTGTTGTTTCTAATAAGCTTCTATGATATGGGATCAAATTCAGGGTGACTAAGTTTTACTTCTTCCTTCATAAAAATCAGGCCATCAGACACTCTGATAGATGAGGTGTTTTCCAGTCTTTTAGGTGTGGCCTAGGTGTCCTATCACAACGCATACATGGCAGTTTTTAATCCCCTCGATCCAAGTTTTCAAAACTGAAGAGGCTCTCAAATGATGCTGATGGGTACTATTTCACGGGGTAAAAGTGGATGATTCATTGGATATTGGGAAGTACAGACTCAGGAGATACCAACGACGAATATTTTTAGTGAGACTTTTGACAAATCAATAGATTAGGGCTACATCGATATTCGACGTTAGGTGATGACTTCGATGTTTTAGTGGACTCGTTATGCTGAAGACGCTCAGCCAATCGCCCTCCTCCTACCGCACTGTCACGTCACGTTCAGCTGGTTTGCGTGATCCCCAGTTAACTAAGCACGCATATCGACTTGGCGATAACAATGTCCAAATATACTTCTGGTTTCAATGGGTAGAATATCGCTCTTGTTTTGCCTTGCTTATCGTTCGTTTGCCGTCTGACATCAAAAAAGTACATATACGTTGGAGGACATCAGTCGCGTACCATAATATCCACTGAATAATCGGGCTGGACTTATCCAGCATGTTGGTTGAAATTCCGCTCGGCAAACGTCTTTTGTCAATAATTTCTGATAAATTTGTCTTGTGTGTTTTCCGGATTGATAGGAATTCTCATTTCCTGACATGTCATGTTGATGTCCACGTCATGAGGTCCACTTAGCACTCTTAGCACATTGGTTGCAATGATCAGTGTTTCAGGTGGGCTTTTTCAAAATATCGCTATATTGAGCATAATGGGACAGTTGGAGAGTAATGTCATCTACACAAATAGTTTACTTCATGTAGAAGCTGCACCTTTCGGCATAGTATCACTTAATGAATACTTCACGTTTCAGTATTTTCGTGTGAAGAACAGTACTATTTGAGATGTGAATGCTATCAGCACATGGAAATCACCTGTGAATGCTAACGGAACCTTCTGTGGGAAAAGAAGTTATCATGTAGATGTGCCTTTCACCGTGTTTGTGTTTGGACAGGAATTATCGTAAGTTGAAAGGTTATCTCTAAGTGAATTTAATATATATTTGCACTGATTGGTGCAGTGTTATATGGGTTATGTGGATTCAATGTATAAAAATATCTCAACTTTATTAGGATTGTGCCACTGTGTGCTTAGCTAACTGCTAGCTAGGCTTGTCTAACATATGTAAGTGGTTCTCATGATTGTTGCAAGTGCAGTGCATTGGAGAAGGCGATTACTTGATTAATTTTCCTCACTGTTTCATTTGGTGAATCAATTCAGTGTGTAGTATAATTATAATAATCCTCAGCACGCTACCCGGCGTCGACCCAAGCTGTACAGAGGTAACCAACACCTACCTAACTCGGAACATACCCATATACATACCACGAAACCTGTTAGAAACAAGACCACTGTGGAGCTGTCAAAAGTCTGGGTTTGAAAATACTTATGCAGTGTATTTGAAGTGCATGGCGAAACTGAGTTTTAATTAAATGACGTACATACGAAAAGTGAGTAGCCAAACGCTTAACAATAAATGCAGTATCCAGGATCAGACAGCGTCAACGACTTCCCACTCTTTCTCTTCAGGTTTTGCGCCATCTTCGACTTTATCATCCTGCAAAAATTAGTCAGCCTGTATCATGAATTACCTTT